GGGGGAAGAGGGAGGAGGAGGGGGGAAGAGGGGGAGGAGGAAGGGGGATCTTACCTACAAGTAATCAAGTTTCCTAAGCTGTAGTAAATAAAACAGTGTGACATGAACCCAGTGTAAACAGATACAAAAAGCAGCACAGAATAGGAAGCCCATTAACAGTTCAAACACGCGTTAAGCAGGTATAGAATAGAAGAAGCATTGCAAAGCAGGAGACAAAGTAAAGCTTACTAAATAAATGATAGGACAATTAATGTTTCGTAACTAAAATTAGCCCATACACGAAAATAATTTCCAAATAAATTAAAGACCTAGTCATGAAAAATGCAACCACTTTCAAGTTAAAAGAAAAAGAGTTTCTTAGACAAGACAGGAAAACAAAACACACAAAAAGGAAAAGATCAATCTTTGATTATATCACATTCAGAGACTTCTGCAGAGCAAACATAAAAGATAAGTAACACACTGAGAAAAATATTTGCGATGCATGACACAAATAACTAATATCCAGAAAAGACCAATCACCAAGTGAAACTAACAGGAAGTTTACAGAAAAAGAAATCTGTTTGGTAAGTACAGGGGAAATGGTTATTCTCACTAGCCATCAGCAACACAGAGCCTAAAAACTTGGAGGTGATATTTTATAACTCTGACTACCAAAAGAAAAATAAAGAGAGAGAGAAGTCCGACAATTTTGAGGATTACTGAATCTGTAGGGGGACAGACAGTCCAGAGTGCACTGATGGGGAGCAATTCCCATAAGAGAGTTGTACATACAAATGACACAGTAACTCCTCATCCAGGTGTGCCTCCTAGGAATGCGAACAGCTGCATGTGGGTTCTAGGAGGTAGGACTGAGAAGGCTCACTGCAGCTTCCGTGGTCATGCAAAAAGTAAGAAACAACCTAAATTTGGTCAAACTGGAATAGATAATGAAATTATGATGTGGTGTTTCAGCAGAATCACAGAGGTGGTTAAAATGAATATGCTTGATTCATAGGCTCAGAATGAGAAGACACAGATGTTACCCATGCGAGGGTGGTACTCAGGTCAACATTTTAACACCTAGAAAGCAACACAGAAAGTAAGCACAGTCAAAGCAGGGGTGCTGCTTCCTCTGGAGAGGGAGGGAGGAAAACAAGACAGAGGAGGCGAGCCAGCCCCATCTCTGATGCTCTGTTTCTTTGACGGATGTGCTGATTTTTCTATCTCCTTTTATGTACAGGTGTCTTTAAAAAGAACCAAATTTTTAAATGTGTTAACACTCAGGCTGTTGGGTCAATGGACATTGTTACATGGATCTCAGCTTTAAAAATAGTTTCAGATTTGTTATATTCATCCATTTATTTTATTTCTTAGAGTTGACATGTAAATGATAGCACACACTGTTTGTCTTTCTCTGTCTGACTTATTTCACTTAGCATAATACCCTCCACGTCCACCCATATTGTTGCAAATGGCAACATTCTGTTCTTTTAGGGCTAATAGTCCATTGTATATTTATACCACATCTTTAGCCCTTCATCTGTTGTTGGATACACAGGTTATTTCTGTCTTGGTTATTTTGTTTTATTTTTTAAATTGAAGTCTTGTCAGTCTACGATGTTGCATCAATTTCTGGCGTGCAGAACATTAGCCCTCCCCATCTCTTTCCCCTTTGGTAACCATAGTTTGTTTTCTACATGGTTGGTACTACCTTTATACCCAAGTTACAGATGGGAAAACTGAGCACTGGGAGGAAGACTACACATGCTTAACCACTACTATCTCTACTAATAATATCCAAAACACTAACTAGCTATGATACCTTGACCAAGTGATTAAAACCTTGTCCACAAAATGCAGATAATAGGGGGACCTATTTCATAGAGTTGTCATGGGGACTGCATGAGCTAATGTGAAGTGTTTATTTAGCAGAACGTGCAGCGTATCATAAGCACTCAGAAATGTTGGCTGTTACTATTTCTTTTATTACTTGTGAGCCTGAGCACTTAATAGGTTTACTGTCTATTTGCAATTCTTCAATGAATTGTCTGTTCAAATAATTTGCACATTTTTTTCATCAGGTTTCATAAATTTAAACTTTTCCTTCCAGGACAGAGTGGTTTGTGTATTTACATGGGTCAAAAGCAGAATTAAGTGTTAGAACATCTGCCACCTTACCAGGTACACTTTGCATTATCTGTCCTGCATGTCCTTAGTTCTTGCTTGCCAGTTCTTGCCATCCCCTCACTGCCACCGTCATTTGTTACACATGCCCATTTCTGGGTGTAAACTGATAGACGCCGAGGCTGCTGTCCGTCTGACATACTAGCTCTCTGGGCTTGGTAAAGGCTTCAGAGTCCTGAATCATTTGACCCATGTCCAGGATACAGGCTATCACTCCAGAGACAGAACATTAATTCTAGAGACAGCCTGCTGGCCTCTGAGCCTTGACTCGGTGCAAGTTCTGGGAAAGAGCATCTCTGTGTATACAACAGATGTCCATTGCCTTTTTAAGAAATAACGGTTGATGTTAAAAGGAGATTTTGCAAAGATGCATAACTCTTGCCTTTTCTATCTGTTTCTATGCATATTTCTAACCATCACTCTACCTTGATCTCTATCTGTCTTGGCTTCTTCCTCTCTGCCCTTCTGATCTGATATTTCTTCTGCTATATCTGGCCCTACTTTTCTGTTGGTCTCTGCCTCTCTCCCTCCTTCCTTCTTTTGATCACAGGATTAAAGATGACTTTAAAAATTAAAGATTCTTCTGGGTAACTCCCAGCCTACTTTACTCCATAATAAGATGGATTCACATTAGTGACAGAGAGGCATCTATGCAGCTACATTTTCTCATTTTATGTAATTATTTTGATTTGACTGAATTAAATTTAGCTTAATTTTCACATGATCCTACAAGGTAAGTATTACCATCCTCCCTTTTATTGGCTCAGAAACTGAGACTCAAGGAAGCTTGCTCTGTTTGCCAGCAATGGAGCCATGGCTTGAAGCCAGATTTGTCTAGGTCCCAAGCCCAGAGATCTTTCTGCCACAGGAAACTTCCCATTCTCCAATGGCCCAGAAGCATTTGTAAGTTGCAGCTGGAATGTGACAGACAGGAGTGCTGCTTACTGTCTGGTCAAAGTGAGGAAAGCCATCTGTCCAAAGGGACACACACATGTTTTAGAGACTGAGCCCCGATGAGCTAATGCGCCCCACTATCCCAGTCACCGAAGCACCTCCTGCCACGCAACAGGGACGTACACCCCTCTTCCCGCATGCTTCACTTACCCAGGAGGAGGACAAGGGCTCTCAGCATGTGGATCCCCAAGCCCATGCTGCCTGTCTGCTCCTGGCTCCTTGAAAGGGCGGGCTGAGTGGCCCGCCTCGGTGGGGACAGGAGCCAAGCCTCACGTGACAGATGGGGAAGGAAGCCGCCGCCACAGCCCAACACGGCTCAGTTCCTCTCTGCCCTGTCATCCTTGTCTGTGAAGTGGCAGGAGGGAGCTGGCCCACAATGAGGGTTCATCGTGGTGTGGTGGGGCAGGGGGAAGAGGGATGGGTACTGGTCCTCACTCAACATTATCTCCTGTAATCTTCCTCACTCAGGGCCAAACCCAAGTGGGGCTGGGTGCAGTTCCTTGCCCAAAGACCCCAGCCCGTAAGTCTCAGAAAGGGATGTGGGCAAAGCTTGTCTGCTGGGATGTCTAGCTCCTACAGTGGCCCCCATGGCTTTGTGGGGCAGAGACAGGAAGTGCCCCCGAGCCCACAGCACTGCCCCATCACTGTTTTTGTGACATAGACTCCTTTACGTCTGGGGCAGCCTATGACTCTCTCCTCAGAATAACATTTTTAAATGTCCAGAATAAAGTACATAGGGGTTATAAAAGAAACTAGTTATTTTGAAATACAGTTATCAAAATATTTAAAAAACAGCCTTGTGATACAGAAACACACGTGCTCCTTTACCCACACAGGAAATAGCAAGATTAGCAGCAGGGGAAATCCTACCACCATCTTGACGTCGTGATGATCATAAACGGTATTTAGCGATATCTCTAGCAACTGGGATATAGATGGAAATGCAGTTCCTACCAGTAATCAGATCATCCATGTGGCAATGGCGCTGTGGTTGGTTGGCTGCACTCACAGTTAGAAGGAAATGCTAAGTTTCCATTAGAGGTTTGAGGGCAGAGCTGTAATATTTCCCAGCCGAAGTTCACAGATCCCAGGTCAAGTGCCCTACCCCGGAGGATGCTGGGTTGTCAACACAGGCTCCAACTGCAGAACTGGGGCCACGTGTTTCCATGGTTCTCCTTGACACCCATTTGACTGTCAAACCATCGACCTCAGTGTGCAAGAAACATCACTTTGTAAAAACAGAAATCAGCTTAATGACAAAGGTTGAGCCCCATCTAAATGAGCTGGAAGAACCAGAACTCTTTGTATCCTTGCACTCCCTCAGCCAAATCCCTAACACAGCTCACTCACTGAGCACTTCCCACCAGGCCCAGCCCTCCCGTAGAATGGGAGTTTATTTGGTCTTCCATCCCAGCCCTACGAGTTAAGTGTTAGCACCACCTTCTTTAGACAGAGGAGAAAGCTACATGGCAGGGGGATGTGGCACCCCTAGGCCCACTCAGCTGGGCATTGAGCCCAGGCCATTAGCTGACAGCCTGTGCCCCTCATACTGTGCTGTGCCCTCCGTGGGTGGGTACCACTTACTCCCGAGGTCCAGGCATCCAGCCAGAGGCCGTTAGGTTGCCCTGGTGGCCACTGACACCCACTGGGCCCCTTCAGAATGGCCATTTTGCTCCTGCGTCTCATGTAGAGGACAGACCTGAATGGAGATGCCTGTTTCTGGGGAAAGTGGTTTGCTACATTTTGGTGTCTTAAGGTTTCATCCTTTTGTTAGCAGATAGAAGGACCCTCCAAATTGGAAAGCCCACCAAATGTGTGGGTCCTTGCCCGCCGACCGAGAAAGAATTCTCAGTAGAGGAAGAGTTTTCAAAAGACCTGCCTTTATGGTTCAGAGAGAGGGAAAGGAAAGAAAACATTTGAGCGGGGAGCCATCAGCTAGGCAGAGACAGATCCAACCTGTGACTGGGCTTCGGGGTCTTTTGCTGGAAGGCTCTGCCAATGTGACCTTCATTCTGGTGGTGCCAGTCATCTACTGTTCGCTCTTTTCTCCCATGGAGCTCAGCCCTAAAATAGGAACTTCAGAGGGGGAAAGAGAACAAAGGAAGAGATACTGGGGGATGCCCTTGGAACTAATGCAGCAGCTGCAGGACAGAAAGTGTCCCACTGTATGGCTATGTCCTTGGAACCAAAGAGCCAGCTGTGGTATGAGAGAAATGTCCTGCCTTTCATCAGCCTGGCACTCTCTCCCCCTTGTTAGAAGCTGGTCAGGGTCAGTAAGCCTGTCTAATCACCTCTCTCACTTTTACCCAGACCCATTTTATTTCATATTAAACACTTTGAGTCAGTCTTCACCGGGAAACATACTCTGTTCTGCTTCTCTCAAAACACATGGGCTTTTCAAATTTTTATCCCACAAGATGGGGACATTTGTAGGAGAAATATTTCACTTGCCCCTAAGTGAGCTGTAAGAAAATGCCAGTGCAGGTGCCACAATCCGTGGGCAGTGGCTGGGGACTGTGGGAAACACACCAGGGGAGCTACGGGCAAGCCCGGAGTGTTCGGGTGCACAAAGAGGTCCCAGGTTGACATGAAACCACTGATTTTCTAATGTTTGGCAACTACTTTCAAAATGTTTTCACATATGGCAGGTCAAACCAAACAACCGTGTGTATTCTGCTCTAGAATACCTCTCGAGACCTGTTCCAGGGCTCAGACTTTCATATATAAACCTAGGAAGGGAAGTTTCTGCAGCAACTTCTGCTTTTCATCCCACCACAACCTCCTGAGACCAGAAAATGCAGCATCTGCTACCTACTTGTGTGGAGAAGGGGGAAATACAGAAGCTCAAAATGGTCCCATAAGCTAGAATCTGAAAAGATAGCCTGCTATCTAGCCAGTGTACCTGGGTGAGATCGGCTGTCTCAGTGTGGTATGGTGACCCCAGCCAGGATGTGTGCCCCATTCCATGTCCCTGTAATAAATGCCACTTTGGTAACCTGAGGCTGCTCCTTCACAGGCATTGGGATGACTCCCAAGAGACTGGGAGCCTGTGAGGTCGGGGACCAGAGCACCCAGCCTTGTGCCTGATACAGCACAAGGTCTCAATAGCTTGTATTAAATAAAGAAATCAGTTGGCTGACTTAGCTCACACTCAGGCTGAGCCAGCTCAGCCTCCAGGTTTGAGCGAGAAGGTTGTGAACCTTACCTGTGGTTGGGAGGTGACTCTGCCAATCAGAAGAGAAGAAGCCAGATGCTCTGGTATTCTGCAGGCTGCTACCCCTCCCCCAGCACGGTCAAGGTCAAAGCTGGGAAGCCTCAGTCCTCCTCTAGCATCTCAGCACCAGCCTCAGAGTGCAGGATTCTTGCTTAATGTGTCTGCAAGTTGGGAGAAACGGTCAAATCCACCACCGTTACAGGAGACTTTTTAAAAAATCAAAGCTAGGGAAAATTTTAAACATAAATTGATGGATAACACTTCAATAGAATGCTGCACCCAACAGATAGAAAATAATCTTCTCAGACATTCATACAATGTTTACAGAAAAATAAAAAACACATCTGGGCCACGAAGTAACTCTCAAAAATTTCAAAAAAGAAGTGACATGTAGATCACATGTCATGCCACAGTGCAACCGAATCAGGTTAACAGTAGCCAAAAAGAGTTTAAATTTCCATCTGTTTGGAAACTTAAAAATGCATTTCTAAGTAACTCTTAAGTCAAAAATGCACTTCTGATTAACTCACAAGTCAACTTATAAGTCAATTACAGTGAAAATTAAAAATAGCTAGAACTGAATGATAATGAAAATGTCTCCTATCAGACTTTGTGGCTTGCAAGTAAAATAACAATTAAACGGAAATTACAGATGTAAATACTTAGAAAAGAAGCACTAAAAAAGAAATGAGCTAAGCAACCACTGAGAAGTGGCAAAAGAATAAAACTTTAAAAAAGCAGGAGAAGAAAATCAATCTGAGAGCAGAAATGAGTGACCAGAAAGCAAAGATTCAACAGGGAGGTCAACAAGTCTTAAAGTTTATCTTTAAAGCACTCATAATATGACAAGATTCTCATTGAGTAGATAAGAAAAAGAGAGGCCAAAAATAAAATTAAGAATAAATAGAGGACTTATTTCCAAAACAGAAACAGACTCACAGGCATAGAAAACAAACTTATGGTTACTGGGGTTGGGGGGAAGAGAGTAGAAAGGGGTAAATTGGGAGTTCAAGATTTGCAGATATTAACTACTACATATAAAATAAACAAGTTTCTTCTGTATAATGCAAGGAACTATATTCAATATCTTGTAGTAACCTATAATGAAAAAGATTATGAAAAGGAACATATGTATGTACATGTATGACTGAAACATTTTGTTGTACACTAGAAATTGACACAACATTGTAAACTGACTATACTTCAATAATAAAAAAAAGGATAAATAGGGGACATATATTTTAATATTAAATAAAAAGAAATACAATTATCTCAATAGATGCAGAAAAATATTTGGTAAAATCTATTACCCATCTCTATCCATGATAAAAAACATCTGATTAAAACTAGGAATGGACAGGAAAGGGACATGGGGAGATGGTGGTCAAGAGGTACAAAGTCTCAGTTATGCAAGATGGAAAGGTTCTGGAGCTCTGATGTACAGCAGTGTGAATATAGTTAACAGTACTGTAGTGTGTGCTTAAAATTTGCTAAGAGGGTAAATTTTAAGTGGATTCAACAGGCACACACACACACACAATGGTAACTATGGGAGGTGCTGGATATGTTCATTAGCTTGACTGGAATTATTTCACAGTGTATACATATATCAAAACACCAAGTTGCACACCTTAAATGTCTCAGAGTTTTATTTGTCAATTATCTTTCAGTGAAGATGAGGGGAAACTCTTGGGTAATGCTGAAGTTACATTGAGAAGGTGAGAAAATATGCTGTAACATCTTTGAAGACAATTTTTAATTCTCTGGTAGAGCTGAATATTTATCACGTGATCCAACCATTCTACTCCTGGAGCTAAAACCAGGGATACTTTTACACCTGTACATTCAGAGACACAGAGATGAATATTCATAGAGCCTGGTTTGTAATAGCAAATAGACCTTGAAAGGACCATAAAATCCATCAATAGGAGAACAGAGAAATAATTCATGATGAATTTTCCAATGGAATATTATGTAACTGTAAATGAATTACAGCAAGAGAGACAGCTTGGA